TTTATCACACTTATTTATTTTCAAGTATATTTATTAGAGCCCAAATAAAGGTGAAATTAATTAATTCATAATAATTTTTTATATTAAAAGTAGGCATTTTTGATAAGCATAATGAATAGAATTAATATTAAGAATTAAATTATAGTAATAGTAAATAGAGTAATGAATAGATATCACAATAACTCACAAAAAGTGAAGAAATAACAAAATGAGTTAATACTAATAATAATGACTAAAGATGTTTCTAGAACTATTTAGTTTTCTTGTTATCATTCTTGGTAGATTTTTGTTTGCATGAAGTTACATTTTTACCTTTGATCATCATTCACTTCATATATAGAAAGATGTTTTTAGAATTATTTATTTTTCTTGCTATCTCTTTACATTTTTATTCTTGGTCGTCTTAAATGCAAAGATATCATCCTATTCATTTTTATTAGTAAAGTTACTTTTTAACATCTTTTTCTTTAATTTCAATCTAATACAGTATATATTATTAATTTTATCACACTTATTTATTTTCAAGTATATTTATTAGAGCCCAAATAAAGGTGAAATTAATTAATTCATAATAATTTTTTATATTAAAAGTAGGCATTTTTGATAAGCATAATGAATAGAATTAATATTAAGAATTAAATTATAGTAATAGTAAATAGAGTAATGAATAGATATCACAATAACTCACAAAAGAAAAGAAAGTGAAGTAATAACAAAATAAGTTAATGGTAATAACAATAACTTAAGATGTTTCTAGAACATTTTTACCCTTGATCATTATTCACTTCATATATAGAAAAATGTTTCTTGAATTATTTATTATCTTTCTTAATAGATTTTTGTTAGAATGAAATTACATTTTTACCCTTGGTTGTCCTCCCACTACACTCTTCTATATATTAGAAATATAATCCTTCTCACACTTATATATTGATTAATTTTTTTATAATTTAAAATAAATAAATTGTTTAAAGTTTAAGAAAATTATTATTTATTGGGACTTTTCATATTTAAAAGAATAGTTTAATAGAAAATAGCTTTAATTTATTTCCTTAAATATTTTTTTAAAAAAAGAAACTGTCATATCCTGATAATTCACTTTATATGACGTTATGAACCAAAGAGAGTATTATTTTTTGACCGGCCTATACAACTTACGAACTTAGCTTCTTTTATTGAAAATTAGTTAATCTGGGCATCCATAAATTTGAATATTACTCCCACCGTTGAGCTTAGCTTCTTCTTTTATTGAAAATCAATTAATTTGGGCATCCATAAATTTGAATATTACTCCCACCGTTATAGATTTTGATTAGAATTTAAGAAAGTAAAAAAAAAAACTCTTAAATCTTATGGTTATAAAATAAAAATATATAAAATATATCAAAATGTTCTTTAATCTTGTGGTCTTAACATAGTAGAAAGATAGAATATAAAGAATTGACAAAAAAAAAAGAGACATTGTTTTGAAACGGACGAAAAAAAGAAAGATAAAACAACATCCATTTGTGTCGCAACCACCCATTGTCAGTCACTTTTAATAGAGAGCACAATTTCCTCCATACAAAATAGACTTTGAGTTTAACTCAACCGAAAAACTAACTCATGACGATAGAATTGGTTAAGACCATTTAAGTATAACATCCCTTCTTCAACCGATGTGGGACTCCAACAAAAATGCTCCTAGAGCAAAATGGTGGAATGACGAATACCTTATAAATCAGGCTTATTACCCTGTTTCTTATCCAAATTTTTTTCTCTAATTTATTTTCTTCATTACAATGTGAAACCATCAGACTAGCTATCCCTGAATGGGATTGAGTAAAATAAGTAGATATGAAGTAAGTTCATCAAACCAGCGTA